ACATCTCGTTTCTCACGTCAGAACGGTCTATAACGTATGGACACACGCGGGAACAGAGCGCGCGACGCGTCTCCCAGAAAATAATAAGAACCCTCTCACGTGCGCCTTTCGCGGGCGAAGTCTCGGGGAAACATTTGGATTCGCGCCACGCCACGTCGAAAGAATAAAGCTGTTCACTTTTGATACGTACACGAAATCCATTGTAGAGGTGAACGCTATTGACAAAATGAATGATGGTTTATATGGCGCCGAACGTCCCGTTTTCCTCATTCCCTCTCTTTTGCCGGCGCTATAAATCGTCTCTTGCCGAGAGAACCGGCCGTTTTCAATGCGGGCGGATGTGCTGCGTGCCGCCGTCTTTTCTTCGTTCTCTCCTTTCGATGGAATCGTGCCGCTACGGCAGATTGGAGAAGCTGATATTTTGTCGCTAAACAAGATATGCAGATATATATATATCGGTGGTCTGTCACTTGTTTTGCGAGAAACGCATATTTTTATGATACAACTTTATACACTCTTAAACCGTGCCACATGTCTAAAAAAAACAAAAGTACTTTCTCAATAGAACTTCTAAATTACTCTTTGGAAAGTTCGTAGCGTTTCAAAAGTTTGCGAACAATTTCTGAGATTTCTGAAAACTTCAAGTAAATGTGTGAGTAAAAAAAACTAACCGTGAATATGGTTTTAAACAGAGTAATTATTTTATTTAATCTAATGTTATTGAATTCGACTTTTTTTGTCAGTAAGGCCATCTTGTTTATACATAACGTGTTTAGATTATCGTGCGGCAGTTTTTGTCTCTCGAATTTTATAGCGGGGTCTCTTTGAAGCGACGAGAGCTATGGAGAGCACGTGATGATCCGTAGATGAGAGCTCATTGTCCATTATTCCCTTCGTGAGAGTCGATCGGATTTGTTTATGTAATTCAATTTCCCGGTTTTGTTTATAATACGTGATCAGACTCGGGTCTACTTATTTTATATCGCTAAACCCTCTAGTCTCCGTCTGAAAATTTGTTTTACTTAAATTATTTCTTAAAATTCTAGTTAACCGTTATAGTTACATGAAGCGATACACGTATAATGCTCACACCTTATTAGTATGACATGCACGGTCTACATACGTGTTAATATAGAATTAGATGCGGCCAACCGCGAGTACGGGCATTACGAGCTGCGTACCGAACCTACCGCACACTGAACACGTAACAAGTGCAGCCGCCGGAATTAATTGCCATTATTTCGGTAATTATGTTTACGGCAAATAATTGCGTTTGCATAATGCGAGTAATTTTGCGGGCTCGGCCAATGACGATAGTCGCGCAGTTTAATCTGTAGGTGGAAACTGCCTGTTCAGCGTGTTCTAAGATCAAGAGAGCTTATTTGACTGATCAAATATTCTGCGCTAAGAGTCACGTTTTCCTTTTTTTTTTTTTGCGATTTTTATCTGCGATGATAACGTTTCGTAAACTTAAACCGAACGTCACGAACAAAAACATTAACGTTTCGTGATGCGGCGAAGAAATACCGACAGGTGTAACTTTGCTGCGAACATCTATGTTGCATTTAAATTTAACACGAAGTTACGAGACAACAGACGTCCATACATTGCGTCGGTCTTACGCGACGGCGTTGAAGTTACGATGTTGTGTTGCAAGTGGTGTACCCCGGCCTAACAATTTGCGACAAAACTTCACGCAAACCAGACTACAGAATGCCCCACGCGATCGATGTATCGAGACGAGATGCGCCAACTGTAGTCGTTCCACAATTACATTTCGACGTTGCGATAACGCGCGCGTGCCCGCCCGCAGGCCGAGGAGTTGTCAAAGTTACTAATGTCAGGTAACAAGCGTCACACGAGCCGCACGCGTTCGTTGTACACCTGGTGCGCGTCACGGCGACGGGGCGATCGATATTTAGGAATACGTGTAACCGAGAGACCAGGCAGTGCAAATAACAATTCCAGTGGGACTCTGAAACGTGGCCGCAACGTCTGTCACTGATATTTGCTCTGTGGTAATCCTATGCACGTATATATTTGCGCTTCGTCATTTCGAAAATAACTGTCGCTAAGAACGCGAGCATCTTCGCGCTCTACTGATTGTTACCGATTAATTGTGCTTTAAAACGTTCTCTCTCCTTCTCTTTCTGTTTTCTTACTGAAACGTTCGCGATATTTCACGCGAGGAAATGGGGACATGTCAATATAACAGAAACAGTCGATTATTTGCCCGCCGTAAATGTCATTCATTATCGAAGAATGTCGTCGTTACATGTACAATTCCGCGCGATCGTCAAATTTTCAGCCGACACTAATGGCAAATATTTGCACGAACTCTCGAATCCCAAACGGATTGACGCGGTGTCACGTCGCGATCATCAACAGAGGAACAAGAATCGCTGCGACGCGGAAAATGCGAGAAAAACTTCAAAGCAAGCGACAGCGCGCTCGCTCGTTTTATTATCCACGAGAATTTCTGTGTGTGCCTTGTGCTCTAACTTTATTTCATTTAATATAATTACGAGGACTGTGTGTCACGAGCGCATCACACACACAGAACATGTACACGTGGGAAATTGGTGTTCGGCGACAGACTCAATTGCCGAAGAGTAAAAACAAAAGTATGTACAAAACGCATTTTATTGTATAAATCTAATTTGCAATCATGAAATTGCACACGTGTTTTACGCGAAGAAAGATGAAGCCAGTAATTAACAATGCACCATCATTCTTTTGCTATCACCGATCAAAGAAACACGAAGAATATACATTAATTAACGGAGCTAATTTACATACATTCGAGTAGCATTCAGTTCTTGTCTCTCTCTCTCTCTCTCAAATCAGAGTTTTAACCATTAGATAGATTATCTAAAAGTGGAACAAAGTTCCACTTCGGCCCTTAATGTTGTAAGTAGGCAGAGTTGAGAAAACCAATACGCCAGTTAAAAAGAATCAATCATTCATCTGCGCATAGAGTGATGCTTTCATACTCTCGCTCAGTCATGAAAAACCGAATATTATGATTAGCAACTACACTAAAATTTAAGGCTAGAGATTCGAGATCTGAGAGCTGAAGTTTGAGATTAAAGATGAGATCTAAGATTTGAGAAACAACTATGAATTCTCGGACCAGAGTGTGAGAAAATTTGCAGAAAAATCCGTCGGGGAACAGAAATGCTGTATAATATTCGAGGAGTTTGTCTTCTTTTCGCGCGCAATTGCGATCTCTCCGCGTAATGTAATTCACTGAGCGTATACACGCTGGTTAGTCTTTGTCGCTTTAAAGTAACTTCGGGGGATGGAATATATTTCTCCCGGGAAAATATATTTCGCGTACTCGCGACGGGAAGAATAACAGGTCCGATCGCCAATCGGTTATCCGAGTTAGAAAATATCCTGTTATCTGAAGAAGAGGGAGATCGAAGGAGAGCTCACGTTGAGAGACGCTACGTGCTGACGCGAAACGAAAGTATTTCGATATATCAATATCAAGCGTGCCGAAAACTTTGAATACACCCGCGCCCACCTTGACGACATGCTACGCGTCGCGGAAGTTTTCTACACTTTTGGAGTGCTATATCCGCGAGTACGTGGTCCGTACTCTCTCTCGCTAAACTTCTTCCCCGCGAACGAGATAAAGCGATAGCAAAGTCGATAAGCTGATTTGATCGTAACAATAGAAGCCTGGCTTACAACGTACATATTGTGTGATAACCGGGGGAAGGTTCCAACGCAGTTCCGAGTATATCGATTCGCGAGAGAAGCTTCGAGATGAAGTACACGCTTGGGAGAGCGGAACGAGAGAGAGAGAGAGAAAGACAGAGATCTGGTTCGTATAAATATTCAATAGAGAAACGCGACATAAAGAGAGAGAGGAAAATCCTCCGCAATACAAGAAATCCAGTCCCGAAGAATATTTCCACCCCGAGAAGGAGGAACAGTAATTGCGTTTGTTGAATTTTACACGCCGACACGTGTTACGTGTACCATCTCAAATTACATTGGTGGAGAAATGTGCGAGATAACTGTCGGTTGTAAAAACGTTAAGGCCGGCGTAATGCGAACACGTATGCGTAAACTCATCAAAAGTTTCGCGATTCACAACTTGGTACGCAGAGCAGTCAAATGCACGTCAAATTAACAATTGATATTTTGACGCACTTTTATCACGTCAATATCCAGACAATGTAACAGGCCATATAGTCTCCTGTCTCTGCGTTATTGACATCGTAAGTACAGTGCGGCGTGCTACGGTTGGCTGAAATTCTCGTAGTCATCTACGTAAAATTTGCGCAGCGAACGAACGTAGATATAGGCTCAAAGCGAAGATGAGAAATTTTCGACGAAGTTTGGGAGGTTAGATATATCTAAATTCTCTGGTTTCTCGATTGTTCTTGCTTGCTTGGTAAAGAGAGAGAAACCGCTGGATCGTGAATGTACCGGCGATGTCGTTGGTTTAACGGCACCGTATCCAGCGACGGCTGTGTAATTTAATGAGCATAAAAGCCAGAGGCACACGATTAATACGCGCGTTGAAACGAGGACGATGTTGTCGACAAGACACAACTGTCTGTGCAGTATCTCATTTTTTGAGACACGGAAATTGTGACTTCACGCAGAAAAATTGCGATTTTAATTGCAATAGTTTATTATTTATTATATTCTTTAATTCTCTATTACAACGTTTGCATGTTATTACGAGATAAAATAAGAATTTTACTTGAGACAATAATAAACAAATTAAAGATCGTATACACGTATTCTTCGTTTATTAGCAATGAAATGTATAAGTACTTTTTTCACAGTAACATTGTTTTTATTTTCAATACATATTACAGATTTTCAGATTTTTTATAGTGCTAAGAGTGTACATTTTCACCACTTTTTCTATTTTTTTGGGAGGAAGCGTGTTTGTTTTAAAATTCTCATCGCGTTATATTATAATATGTAGAATAGAAGGAGATCAGACACACGGCGAGTCAGACTAATCATTTCAATTATAAGAATTCTAAAGAATGATATGTATTACTTTTTATTTAATATTGTACATTTTAGTGAAAGTTATCTACAATATAATGCACGTATGAGTAACTACAAAAAAAGATATATTCAATGAAAAATCAATTTAATATGAAGATTAATAAAGTTTCTTACGTCATTACTCGAAAAAGTTGGTCTTTTTAAAGTTGATAATTTTATTCGATTTTTGATTTATATTTGTGAGAAAACCAACAATCTTTGATTAAACAATACTTTTGTTAAATGAAAATTTTTTAATTGTCAGAAGTAATAGACACGTGTTTTTTAACGTAGATGTTTTGTTTTATATAAAAAATATTGTTTCGTTCGTGTAACTTAGAGAAAAAATTAAAATTGATCTATTTTTGTTAGTGGATTAGTTATAACGATTCAATTGGAACAAATTTTATATAAACTGGTTGATCGGGGCGAAGCACTGTACTATACCCTAGTTTTACATCTTTTAAATAGTCGACAGGCTCTAAATAAAAGTTGTGTATCAACGTAGCGATTATAACTTTCAATTCTAACAAACCGTATCGTTGACCTGCAATTTGTAATTAAAAAAATGTTTAGTTACAAAATACAAGGCATTTAAAAATTAAAAAAAGTTGCCAAGTAAAAAAATGGTAGAAGAAGTATGATGTTACATTATTTAAAGATATTGATATGTCTCTTTTACTTTTAGTATAAGACTAAATTATTATTATAACTACCTATAGAGTATAGTCTTTAGTATAGTCTTTAGTCAGATTAAATTATAATAATAAGCACTCTTACCTATGCAATTTCGTGGTCCTGCACTGAACGGTATGTAAGAATAAGGATGGCGATTTTTGCTTCTTTCTTGTAAAAATCGATCTGGATCAAATATCTCTGGATTGGGCCAAAAATTGGGATCTCTGTGCACGCTGTAGATATAAATACCTATATCTGTTCCAGCAGGTACTATGTATGATTCTATAAAAAAATATATAATATGATGAATATGTTAGGTAACTGTTATTGATTTATCCCATACAATCTTCTAAAGAATTTTCTCAAATAAGACACGTGCATAGAAAACGTTTATGTACTGTATCCTACTAAAGTGGAAGTAATTGTATATTAGCTTTCGAGTTATATTATTAGGATATCATTACATAAGTAAATGTCCAAAAGTTTATTTCGTAAAGTCATTTGGTATACGCACGTAATTTTACATCTTCCGTTGTCACTCTTGCTATACTAGGCACAGTTGGATATAAGCGCAGTGTTTCCTTAATACATCTTTCTAAATAAGATAGATTTTGCAACGACGACATGGTAAATTTATCGTTATTTTCTTTGAGGATAGTATTAACTTCCAATCGAACGCGATCCTGTAAGAGGTGGTAAGTAAGAAGAATATATTTTACATATATACAATGTGTCTGCAAAATGTTAAATGACAGATACCTGAATATCCTTATGTTCGGCTAACAACATTAAAGCAAACGTTGCCGTTAATGCTGTAGTATCATGTCCCTGTAATTATAACTTAATATGTGATATTTGTCCACATACATGTAACAATATATAGCAATAATACATAGCAATAAAATCAAATAATATACATAACAATTTTAAGAAACATTATAAATTTTTACCGCAAATGTAAAGATATCGACTTCCTCCCTGATGTCTGAATCGGTTAAATTATTTTCCTGCGACATGGCTATCAAAAGATCTAACATAGCGAGCCGTCTTTTTTTAGCTAAAAAAAAGCAAGTTTTCTGTTTAAAAATTCTGTTAAACTTGTTTTGTCTAAAGAGTATAAATATTAATTTTCTTAGAACAGATTGATTGAATTTTATATGAGAAAAATTGTTATAGAACTTTTTATCTACTTCAAGTAATAAAAAACTATGTTTCACTGTCTGAATTACGATTACATGATTGCATATGATCCACTACTTTGTAATGTTACATACTTCCAATGATTTCTGTATCATCTACTTCTGTATATGTATCATTTTCGATATTTTTTAAATATCGACCATCAGTACGTTTGTGATACTGTTTCCTTTCTGCAATAATCTACAAACACATATATAAAATCTAGTACTGCTTAGTTTTTATTTTGTATCTACGTTTTTGTTTTGTATAAATATGAAGTATTAACCTCTATGATCACGGTTATAAATTATTTTACGTACTTTTTCTGTAAAGTTTTGCAAAGTTCTCACAAGTTTTCTTTGTTTTCTTCCTATTGGTAACAATGCAATTATCCATTCATTATACAACCAGGGCCTTAGAAATCTTAACAACAATTTTTGAAGATATTACTATTTATAATATGTATTTATAATATGCTGATGAAAAATACTTGAAAGAAATCATATATTTATACAATATTTACCTGTAAACAATGACTTCACCTATCTGATAAAGAGCATTATGATAATGTTCTAATTTGGTAGAATTTTCTAAAGAGATACCCATAGCTGATTCTACAATTAAGAATGCAGTGCATGCGTAACGAATATCGATGTTTTATTTATTATAGTTTTGATTAAAAAGAATACATTTTCTGTATTTTGTATTTGTAATAAAAATAAGAACAGTGAATGCAGTAAGAGGGCACAAATTACCACATATTATGTTTAGCGTATGGTTGCTCATAAATGATAGTAACTCTTTTACAACCGGTTCTTTAGCATTTTTTAAAGTTGCAACCATGCGATTGCTTTCTTCAATGAAAATGTCAATAAACTGCTTCAATATAGTAAAATGAAACGCCGGTGTTAATATCTTTCGTCGTGTATGCCATTTGCTACCTGAAACATAGAGGAAATAATTGGCTTGACAGATAGATACTTTTGATTACTTTTTTTTTTTAACTACAGCAAGATTGTAGCATTTTGTTGGTTGTGTAACCCTAGGATGGGCTTGAAACTATTTTGTCTGTATTAAACTTGTTCTAGTTTTGTTTATTGTGCTTTTCTAATGTTAAAAATAAAATAGGAAGTACATCGTTCTATTATTGAAAATCATAGTGTTCTTCCGATTTCTTTCAGAAACACTTTTTCTGACTACAGATAACCCTTGTATAAGTAATGAATAATGCGGTTTCGATATAACGCGATTTACAAATTGTAATAAAATAAAGTCTAACCCTGTCGTTTTAATATTCGCGTTTATGCAAACCTTGTATAACGCTATTAATTTAACGTGGCATTTTTGTGGGACGGAATATTCGCGTTATACTAGGATTACCTGTATTCACAAATTGCTATTTCTTTGAAAATTGAGTCGTTCCATTCTAATCTAATTGCGTATGACGTAAAAAAAGACACAACTCACAAACGTCAACGCGTGCGCGTTTGTGTATAACAATTTCGATGTAAAAAATATCACTGTTAGATTTCAAACTTCTATATGCATAATATATATTATTTTACATTTATTCCTTTATAATTTATAATATTGCAATATCTCTTATTTTTAGAGAAAACACATTAGTTCTAGTGCAGGAAATTTTCCAATACATAATGTAATTAATGTTGTTATGTTACCTTTGCTTGTGAAAAGACCTGTTTGAAGCCATGGATGAAATATGGTGTATATGTAACTTTTTTCAACATGCTTCGTGCTACCCAATATAGCCTAGACAAAGAAACATCAATCATTTAGTATAAAACTTTTTTATATATAGATAGATAGAACTTCTTAGGAGCAATTATTTGTTACTATATACAGGGTGTCTTTTAAATATTTCGATCAATCTGAAATGTAAAGGTAGATTGAGTCAATCTGAAGAGAAAAGTAATTTGCCAATTTGCAAAGTTTACAGTATTTATATATAAGTTCTCAAAAATTATCACAGAAACTCACACAAGATAAAAAAATAAGTATTTATATTTTATATATTTTACCTGAATATCATCTGGATGACGTATTATTATCCATGGTACATGAGAAAACCATATCTTCATGATTGGATAGTATTGATCATGTAGTTTCAATAATCGGTGCAATAGTTTATCTGAGAAATATAAGAATATACTGTCAGATTTCATAAGATTAAGTCTGTTCTGTTCGGTACTATTTTTTTTTTGAAAATTGAGATTACAGAGAAAATATTAATTATTATTATAAATACAAAATACGATGTATATCAAAATGTATTCTTATGACATCTGAGGTTTATTTTAGGAGAAATATTAAAGAAATTTTAATAATTTATCACAAAACATGAAGTATAAACTTAAATATATAAACTGACTATATATTTCGTGTTTCGTGATAAATTATTAAACTTTCTTTAATATTTCTCCTAAAATAAATCTCAGATGTTTAAAGACAGAAAAATATTGCAAATACTCATTGTTTTGTATAAATACAGAGAGAAGATGAAGAGCAGTTACACTAAATCAAATTTTTTTCTTTACCATTTGACACGTTGATAAGTGCACTTCCTATTATTGGTAAAGATGATGGTCCCGGAATATGATTAAGAAGTCGTTCTTTTTTTCCATAATATAAATAATGATATATCGATACAAGGAGTATAATAACCAATACTAGAATAATAATCATTGTTTTGTGACGTTATATGTATACTGTGTTTTCTCTTGTAGTTTACGTTCTTTTAGATCTTCTTATGTGACATGATACCACAAAGTTATTTTATGTTTTTTATATTAAAAATAACTGTCGTGTTATTTATCCTAAACACATGACATATAAACAATATGAAAAATAATAAGTTTTTTATAGAAAAAGTAATAATTAAATTAACTGAACTGTTGTCACTAGACGGATATTCACAACAAATATTCACAGTAAGCTTTACATGGCTTTATAAACGTTATCTTCTTCTCTTTCTCTTTTTCTTTTCTGTCTCTCTGTAGTAGTGGTGGTGATGATGTGTGGTAAAAACCTGTTATGTAATTTTATTGTAAAAACTTATTACAGCAGATATTACAGCAACAGATACGATTCAACAGTAAGCGCGAACATATGTTTTGATGTGACGATCACTGAAAAAAAAAAACAAAAAACAATAAACAAAAAAGTAATCTCATACACTGACTTGCAGGAAGTATAAAGGTCTAAAAAATACACTTTGTTTTTTATACCTTATTGTAGATCTTTACTGCATTGTAGTTTTTTATTGTAGTTACTGCAAATTCTAATGTCGCAGTAAGTTTTATTCTCAGAAAAAAAAATAATTTATCGTCATGTGCAATCGAAAGCACGAGTAATTCACGACGGGTCACCGGTTGGAGCCGCGCAAAAGTCGTATCGTTGTTGAAATTACGCATAAATTTGGTCTTTGTGGAGAGGAGGCACCGGAAATGTAAAAATCATCGTTAAATGATTCGTGAGAGTTTGCGTACTTGCGACAGAGGTTTACAGACTTGCTCTCTTTTCGTGCGCGAACGAATCCGCTTTCTCGATCAGCGGAATAAGAGAAGCAGCACGCTTTTGCAGTCATAGGAATTTTTTTTGTTACATATAGGAATGATCCAAAAAGGAAGGTCGGAACAACGGACGTGGCGAACGGAGCAAAAGACACGCGCGAGAGACTGAAATTCTGGAGTGTTTTTCTTTCTTGCACGGAAATTACAAATGCGCCGTGTTTTACGCTCGAATGAAAGTGTCTAGCAAAGAGTGTTTAGTCGTAGTAAGAGAGCTTGCGAGAAGAGTTAGAAAAAAGAAAGGAAAGCGCAACCGCGTAGGTTTTGGCGATTCAACCCGTGTGTCATTAAATGTATAAGCATTACTGTGGCGCGCCGACACCATGACGGGAATGGTCTCCCTTCCAATATCGATTATCGGTCGGCCGTATTTAGATGCGTTCAAAACTTTTTTTCTCGCGTCAGCTCGTAAATTCTCAAGTTGAACTTTTTCATACTTCTCCCTTCCCCCATTTTACACCAGTCGGCTAGTAGTAGTCGCGCAAACTTGCAAGTCGTGAGCGACATCATTTCACTCGCGAGCTAGTAAGCTACTGGCGAGAATCGCACACTTTTGCGATGTTACAAGATGTATTGCCTGAGCTTTTTTCGGTTCCCGTGTCGAGCAATAATATATGTTGGAGCTTTTAGTGACCTACTGCAAAATATATATATTTCACTTTTCTCTGATATATCACACTTATTTTAACTTGGTGTGTTATTTGTGTGCTTTGTTATATTTCATTCAATTTGAATTTATACATGACAATTTATATATGACATATATGTATCCAACATTTGTACCTTGCTTTTTACAAGATGTACATTATGGTGTTATAGTCAAGCGCGTATGGAACCGCAAAGTAGAGCGCGCGCGTGTTATATTTCTATATAGACAAACGCATATCGAGAAGCAGTTATACTACATTTACGATAAAGAGATAATTATTCTCGATCCTATATATCTTCGCATAAAAGTTTACGCACGCGTTATACTTATACTCTGTACGTGTAGATATTTTATATATAATTAAATTATTATTATTTCGCTCTTCTTGGGTGGTAGCTTGAGTTATCTATGAACCCGTGCTTCATTTTCCAGCGACTCGATGTAATAAAAGTCGACTTTCCGCCGCGGATTTGTAAGTCGAGCGAGGTAAAGCGCGCCGTCACATTTCTGTCGGATCTTTTCATTTACCTTAGTTCGCATAATTTTCTCTCAGCTTCTTTTCCTTCGAATTTCGCTGTTTCTTCCGCGCGAGTAGTCTTTCGCACGAAGAACCGCGCGATTAGAACCGCAACGCAACGCGACCACACCCTCTGCGCCGCGGGAAAAGGTAGTTCAATAATCTTCTCTGTTCGAGAGATTTTGAAGTGTTCTCTTCAATGCTCAATATGGAAAGTTAGCGTAGAATGCCCCGTAAAAGGATCAAAACTTAAATGAAGTTAGCGACGGGATAGACAACTTACTGCTTGCCTGGCACGGGCGCCGCATACCTACATTTCAACCACCCTGTCTCACTCCCTTTCGTCGCGATTCGTGGTTACTCCTCGCACGCCGCTCCTTCGTTCTTTCAGCGCCGCTTTGAATAATATTTCGCACAACAAAATCGAAGGAGAAGAAGGAAAGAAAAGAAACTGCGCGAGGCGTATTTCTCTCTCTCTCTCTCTCTCAGTTGTTCGACGCTCCACCGGCGTTTTATTTAACCCACCTTTCCTTCTACCGCGTAATTCCATCGTCTTTCTAAGAGTCCATTAAGACTCTGTTTCATCTTTCCATACAATTTGTTTTCCCTTTTCAAATTCGCCGCGTTTGAGATTTTCGCGAAAAATGCGCGCGAAATGGAGTAATCGCGCGGGACAAATTCAGCTCCGAAAGAGATATCTCGCGTGACGCGATTTCGACCGGTCGAAAAACAAGACCGAAAATTTGTTTTTTTATTTCCCCGCGCTGTTACAGCAAATTTTCTTCTCGCACAATCAATGAATGAGCGCGCTTTCTCATAATATTCCCAAGATCCGTGTGACATGTATCTTTGCTGAGTTCATTTACGTTTTGCTCCTCCGTCAAGTAGACTTATTAATACCCTTTCAATTACGCGCAAGTAGCAAGGACGCGTTCAAGCAGCTGGGATTACTCGAGATCCTTTCAGCATAAAGGATCGTACGCTGAATATTGTCTTGAAACTATGAGTTTTGCATAGCTTGTTCTTCATTGAAACGGACGAGAAGGAAGCAGAAAGGTATTAAGGCGGACTGTCGAGACTCGAGCTAAATGATGATGACGTTAAATTAGTATGCTAAAATTCCGGCGAATTTGTCCGAAGGACTGCGAGATTCTCGGGCGCGATTCTCGTAATGACAGTGTCGCGCGATTATTGCCAATTAAAACTTGTGTACATATATATGTCCTCCGTGTGTGTGTGTGTATATATATATATATATATATATATATACATATATGTTCTTTGTAATGGAAACCAGAGAAATGTCACAATCATTATTTCGAGAGCGAAACACGGTGAAGATAATAAATGACGCTCTCTTCCGCCAATATAAAATGAGATCAAGGAAGATTCTCTCTCTCTCTCTCTCTCTCTTTCCCGAGCAAATCACTTTCTCGCGTTGATACGGATGGCTTCCCGACAAGAATCCGATAAAAGTTCTGGGGATTATCCTCCGACTTGAGAACGGCGCCAAAGTTCTCTGTAATGTGAGCATATTGACCGCGACGTGTGAGAATAATGACATGAGTGCGGACTGGGAAAAATCTATTGTTACATTTTTCCCCACACAGATTTATCGCGACCTGTTAGCTTCTCGTGAGTCACGCTAACCAGACGCGATATAAAGATCATGAAAAAAAAGAACGAGTTAATTCGAAGTAAAAGAAAAAACTTGTACGCATAGATATAAATTCATATTTTATCGTTGTATATTAAAAAAAAAGTTTTTGGCAATTTTATTATTTTGTTTCAAAAATTCTGAATTTTTCTATTATCATCGCGCGAATCTCTTTTTCATAACCGCGAACGTTGAACACATTGTGAAGTCACGCGCAAACGCATAGAATATGCGTGAGATCCAGTATAGCTGCGACGACATTGTTAGACGTTTGCATGAAGATTACGTGGAAGGAAAAGCGTAGGAAGACTCGAACACACTCTCATGTGTCGTCTACGTAGACGTAACAGGATACATCCTCGTGTGCCCTTGGCGGCATGAAGCAGGTAACGTTACGAGGAACGCGCCGCGCGACGTTAAATGTGATAACCGTACTTTGTAACAATACTTCGTCGTAGGGGATAATGGCACTACGCCACCGTGCAAAGTTGTCTCGATTCTCTATGAGACGCAATCCACGTCGAGAGCGATCTCGCGAAAATCCGTGTAACGCGTTATAGCGAGAGACGTGTCTCTTACTCTTGCGATAATATTATTTATAAGGACGGAATTATATACTTAAAAATTGCAAGAAAATGCACGATGACAATATATTATATTAGTCATAAGTGCTCTCTCTCTCTCACAGTGGCGTTGGTTAAAATAATGATGCGAACAACGGCGTCGCGTGTGTACGCATATATTTATTGCGAATATATAAACGGTATAAACACATGAGAGAATTCGCGGTAGAATATTTTGAGCTCTCTTTATGTCGGGAAATGGAATGTTTCCTTTCCCTCAACAACAGTTTGTTGTGAATTTCGCACGAGAACATGTAATGCGCCGTCAATTTAAGATAGCGCGGCGCTGTTTATTCCGGTTGCAAAATCCCACTCGCTTATCACATCGGTGCGAAAGTTTTGCGCTATCTGAAATTTGACATACATACACTGAACTAATATGTATATATATATATATGGGTTAAACAAATTTTTAATATAATTTTTTAAATCTTGGATTATTAATATTCATTACTCACCAAATATAACAGTTAATTGTAACTATTTGTCACTAAAATTATATATTTTATTTTATTAAATATTTTTCTGTAAGATATCTTAAGAAACATTCTTTTACGTCATATTTATTATGTCTTTTATTTACATATATAAAAATCGCGTGCAATTGTTTTTCTTACACATGAGAGTTGTGCAAATTTTTCTAATTGCCACTTGTTTATGTTAATTGTGTTCAAACAACAAAATAGAAATCTAATCTAACTAGAGATATAGAATGTAATTTAAAATATGATCAATACAGTCGTATTATCCAGCGGGTATTTGCTTTCTGGGGCACGTTTTCCTCTCACGATTTCGAGAAGGGTGGGTACACGCAAACGGCTTTTTCTGCGGTCGTGGCACTTATTTGTGCGTCGTTGGCAAGCGACAGGATGAAATGTGCGAGTTC